TGGCTTTAGCCCAGAATTTCCCTTCCCCGTGCTTCAATGTCAAGGCCTGGGCATGCCTCCCCTTCCCTGTGTGCGCCCTGCCTTCCTGCCCTTGGGAGCCCCTATCTCTTCTCCCTTGTCTCCTTCCCACTCCCCACAGTGCCCAGTGCACGACCAAGCTCACCATGATCTTCTGTAGCAGGACCACTTTGCAGGTCTCCGGCTCCAGGGTGTCCTCTCCCCTCTGCTTGGTGGCTCTGCAGAGTGTGGGGATGCCGAGAAGGAAGTGCTCTCCATGCTCCTTGTCCTGTATCCCCCCGGAGCGGGATAGGACGAAAGATAGGGTGTTGGCCAGGGACCTTCCCATCCTGCCCAAATCAAATGTGGGACTAAGACCCCTTGGATGCCCCCCGTTCCTTGCACTGGTCTCCTGCTGGGGAAGCAGAGTGAGAAGCAGAGGCAGCATCTGTGATGGGAGGCTGGCTGTCAGACCAGTGCACACAGGTGGATGTGTCAGAGCCTGTGGGCTGAGTGTGTCCACTGGGGAGACCTGGGTTCATGTGGTATGACTGCCGTAAAGACTGAATGTTGGGAGTCAAGGGTGGTCTTGGTGCCAGTTCCCTTAGGGGACTTTCCTACCTTTCCTTGGCCCTGGAGGTGCAGTATGATGCCTGTGACTCCTTGGCCCTGGAGGTGCAGTATGATGTCTGTGAGGACTTCTTTCTCCAGCAGCATCAGGTCTTCACCCTCCTGCTCTTCTTCTACCTCCTCACCTGGCCGGTAGGGAATCACTTCACAAGGATGAAAAGGGAGAGGGTGACTATTGCTGCAGTTTGGAGGGTGTAAAGGAGCACAGGGGGCGCAGAGATGCTTTCATCTTCTTTCTGCATCCTAGGGCCCTGTGCCAGAGTAAGTAGCACACAGCCTCCCCATGTGCTGACTCTACATTTTCAACCTCATGCCCCCATTACTAAGGGGGACCAGACTGTCCCTATTTCCTTCCCCCATTACTAAGGAGGACCAGACTGTCCCTACTTCCCCGGCAGGTGCCAGCCCCTGCACTGACCATGGTTCAACCCCCTAAGTCAACCCCCACGGTTCTGCCTAAAGGGAATGGTGCCCATGACACTGGGATCACTGGAGATGTGTGGCTCAGGCCGTTTGTCCTGACTAAGATTCGACTGCGTAATGCCAGGGATGGATGGATTGGTCTGAGTGAGCGCATTGTCCCCAGATTTTTGGCACCCAGGCTGTCTCCTCACCTTTGATCGTGGTGCCATAGGGTGGGTTGCTCCTGGACTCCACAGAGCTCTCAAGGTCTCCCCGGAAGGAGCTGGAGCTGAGGCTGGGGCTTGGGCAGGGCTTGCTGACCTCCTGCCCCAAGGAATCTGGGTCCCCCTCCATGGCAATGCAAGGGGCCAACTCCTCTGACCTGGTTTCAGGGCACAGCTCCTGGTGGCTGGGTGCCCTGGGAGGAGAGCTGCATGGCAGCCCTGCCTGGTGCTCTGTCTGTGCTGGGTCCCGCCTGCCCAGCCAGAGCCGGGGCACCTCCCTGCTTTCCGAGAGGGCTCCTCTGCCTCCTCGGTCTTTGTTCCA